AGGGCTAAGGGTGACTCTCAATCAGCGAGATGGGACACATTGGCAGAGATGCTTCAGATGGGCAATTCGAGATGAGACACGATAAAATATAGGAGTCGCAAAATATGATACCCATGATTTCTTTGATTAAATTTTTCCTTTGTCAAGTTTTTGATGTGAACAAACTTGTCTATCCCCAACTTCTCATTTGGTCAGCAAAGAACTTCATGATGGGGAACATTTCCTCTCTATTCCTAGGCATGTCAACTTCCCTCCTCTTCCACTGTACGACCTTCACATCCTCAAACTCCTTCTTTATCATGTCAATATTGTCGTCGGATAGCTGTACAGCGAGGACCTTTGACTTGCTCTTCTTTCGACTACTGACGGTCGGAACCATAGAGTAGGGCAAAGGACCGCCGATGGACACGGCGCCCTTGCAAGTCTCCCCGCCCAGGTTTGCTGAGCCCGAGCCGTCATCCGAGACCTCCACGACCTTTGGCTGCACGCGCAGCTGAGACGCCAGACCCAGGGCCAAGGAGCCGCCCTGCCCAAAACCGAAGAACATGACGTCGCTCATCTCCCACCCCAGCCTGCCGACCAGCACCCCGCGCACCAGCTCGCCCAGCACGAGGTCCCGCGCACGCGCGAAGCCGGGATCGCCGTCCAGCTCGCCCGAGCCCTCGTCCATGAGCAGGTCGTCGCCCCAGTGGAAGCCCGCCCGGGCGCCGGGGCCGGCGGGGAGCAGGCCGGCGGGGAGCGGGGAGGTGCCGCGGACGGAGATGGCGAAGACGCCGGGGAGGTTCATGCTGCGGGCGAAGGAGGCGAAGGAGGCGTCCGTGTCGCCGAGGCCGTGGAGGAGGATGAGGATGGAGGTTGTGGATTCCGGGGGGGAGGGGAAGTGGAGGGAGTGTGGGAGGGTGGAGGCGAGGGACTCGAAGTCCTTTGCGGAGGGGACTCGGGCGGGCATTGTTTTGGCGTTTGATTGATGAGTTGTGATTCGCGTATTGGGATTCTGTGGCGAGCGAGTTGGAGGTTGCTTGCGGTGGGGGACCTCGTAGGGCTCGCCGGCTGCAATTGGTCTTGCTTTACAGGCGTATCATCCAAGTAGGTGAAGAAGAAGAGGAAAGAATCCTAAGATTAAGACCTTGCCGCTTTAAGCGACATTGCCATGTAAGGTGTGTAAGTTGTAAGTTGTGAACGGCGCGGTGAAGCTCTTGTTTGGACGTCGATGTAGAACTGTGGCTGTAGGTGGGGCGGTTGGCCGGAAGCAAAACCAACTACGACGAAGCTGTTAAAACGAGGAAAAGAAGCACAATCTCTCACATCGAGGTCGTCGTTGATGTTGTATAGTTAGATCAATTTATGTTGATACTATCTTGCCCAAAAGTAGACAAAAACTCCTATGGCTTGACAAAAAGAAACAAACAAGACATGAACCAAAGTGTGAATGAACAATATTTCCTGTCGTGATATTCACTCCCAAACACCGTGCTTTCCATCAAAGAGAGCTCTTGGCTCAGACATTCTCACGCGCCCCGAGAGGCATCCTGGCACTCTCCTCGTCCTTGAACCGCATCATGTCTCCCCCGATCAGTTTCCGCAGGTTGCCCATATCCATCAAATAGCGTCTCATGTCTTCCTGCAGGTCGTCCTCGCCGTATGCAGTGCTCTCCGAGTCATAGTCGTACTCATAATCATCGGCCTCGGATATGTCGTCTGCCTCTACATTCTCCTTGTTGTCCACACCTTCGTCGATGCTCTTGACGGTGACTGGTGGGATGGGGTTCTTGAGACTGTCGATGGCGAGCTTGAGGTGCAACTTGAGAGCCTCGTTCTCGGTCTGGAGCTTCTTCATCTTGCTCTCGGCCACCATGCTACGCTCCTCCATCTTCCGCTGCATTGCAGCCACGCGGTTCTGGTATTCCTCCAGTCTCTCCTCGGCTTGTTGAGCATTCTTCTCTTTCTGCCGCGAGTCGGAGACGGAGAGCTGAAGTAGGCGGATCTCCTCTGCCATTGCTGCGATCTGGGCGTCCCTCTCGGCAGTGGAAATGTGGTCTTGGTTGACAACAGCACGAGTCCGTATTCTCTTGGCCTGGTCGGCATATCGGAGTGTTGACAACGTCTCGTCATAGTCGGACGGCGCAATGCAAGCAATCATGGCAGTCTTGCTGTTGCCTCCGAGCGAGTCCTTGAGCAGCCAGGTCAGGATAGAATCACGGTACGGCACGACGTCTTTCCGCTTGCCCGCCCGCAGCGCCTTTGGATCTGCCAACGCGGCAATCACACGACCCAGCGTGGTGAGTGACTTGTTGATGTTGCTGCCCTCTCGCAGCCGGGCACCTGTGGCCTCGGTTGACTTGGCTCTCTCGCTACCCGCAAGATCCACCAGTCGTATTCTTGAGCTCCTCTCGGTTGTCTCGTCAGTTTCCATGTCGTGGTGAATCTGCTTGAGCATGATGGTGAAGACGGCGTGACTTCGGCTACTAGTGTCGTTCATTTTGGTGCTGGCCACTGTTCTTGATGCATCACCGTTGGTCATGTACCGCAAGATCTCATCAATGTTCCGGACGGGAACCTCTGTTAGATCCTTGACGTACGGGCCTTCGGTGGGAGACTCTCGGATTTTGAGATAGTTGGGAGGCTTGTTGGGGTCGGAGCGCATGAGAAGATCTCGCACATGCTCGTTGTACACCTCGAAATAGGACACACGCACGCTGTAGGCGATGTTGGTGTCTTCGGCGTGTGCTGCATCAATGCGCTCAAACAGGTCCTCGCACGTTCGAGGAATCAGGCCAGGTTGGTCCGGCGTGCCCATCATTGTGTAACTCTTCCCGGATCCTGTCTGTCCGTAGGCGAATATGCAGGTATGGTACCCCTCGAAATTGTGATCGAGAAACTCTTCTCCCAAACTGTTGTAGACGTCTGATTGTGTGGCATAGTGCTTGTCGGTTGTGTCGTGACTCCAGAACGAGTTGTCGAATGTGAAGTTCTTCTCCTCGTAGACCTTGCGTGACTTTGGTTGAGGCTGTTTTCCTCCGCTGACAGCGTCTGGATCGTCTGGTGGAAGGAGAGTCGTCTGCTGGGTGATTGGGTCCATGTCTATCAAGCAGCGAGTCTGCTTGGCGAGCTCTGTGCCGACGTGTATCAGTAACAACCTTCTCCAAAATTGACAGAGAAAAAAAGCTCCCACTCACCTCTCTGGAGGAAAGCTCGCACGCGGACCACGACTCGCACATTGCCTCCACCGTCCATTCGGGAGAGCATGGGGACAGTCCCATCGCGCGAGCGCAGAGAAGGGGTTGAGGCAGAGGAGCGCACAACACGCTGGGGGTCGGGCGAGGAAGGCATGAGTCTAGAGTCGAGGGCCATGTCCCGGAGTGTGTAATTGACTTGCTCGATAGTATTCTGGCAGCGTTGTCGAAGAATGTGCCACATTTCAAAGGCCGACTTCCTCCCATCCACTTTTCTTGTTTATGCTGCTTGCCTAGTTGGGAGATGGGCTGGTTGCTAGGGTCAACCAGATGGGACTAGGAGTCGGGTAGTGGGCACGTAGCCTGTAGGTTAGGTAGCGACAGGCTTGGTTGGGCGCGCTTGGCTGCTGTCGGGCGCCTGTGCTGGGGCCCCGGCCAGTTGGCGTGGGCGGAATCTGGGTCGCTGGGCGATTCAATTCCAGAGCCTGTCCGCTGTCGCAGGGGGCCTAGTACCTGAATGGAGACGGACGCCTGTTGATTGCGATGCAGCGCTCGTCAGGTGCAAAGTGAAGCGGAAGAAGAGCGACGTCTCGGGACAAAGGCTGGCAAGAAGATTAGATCGATCTCCAGGTTTTTAACATCCCTTCTGCCACTAACGTACATCGGATTCACCCCTCTTTCGCGCGCATCGTGTGATGACCAGGCGCTGTTGATGGGACCACTTTGTTTACTTAAAGCCGATTGAGGTAAGACACCTCTTAGTCCTGCATGGGTCAAGCTTGTTTCGTAGGTGGGTGATATTGGAGATGAGGCAAGGCCACGCTTTGGGTCCTTTGCTATTACTGGTGCTCCAAGTATTGGTGTTGGCATCAAGCGAATAGAAAGAAAAATACTTGCTGTATTTCTTCAAATGATTTGTGTGAATTTGATGATTCGTGATTGTTTCTGGTATTTCCAACCAGTATGATGATATGTAGGAAGAACCCTTCAAATTTTGATCTCACCTCTGATGTCGCCTACTCGTATCGCTCCGCGCAAGAATCAAAAAGTGGTCTTGGCAGGGAGACCTGCAGACTATGGTATGGTTCTTTAATGCTTCATGTATAATAAAATCAAGGTATTGGGGACTGCGTTCCTCCAAGCGCGAGCTCTGCGAACCGGCCGGCGACGAATGGGGGGATCATGAAAGGCGCCAGAACCTTTCGGTATCTGTAGACACAAGGATCTAGACGATTGATCGAGCGATTAGATTACTGATGCAGGAGAGTAACAGGTTGTTTCAAATTGCGACCGCGTTGTCAGATGCATGCAGCCGGATTGGTATGGATTGGATTGGACTCGAGGCCGTGTGAATGCGCCGCAGCAAAAGAAAGAGCCCAATTGAAGGCCAAGAATCGATGCGGCTCGGCCCCCGCCTGCTGAATTTACTGCGTAGGTCCCTGTAATTTAGTGCCTGCAGAGCGTCGGCTCGATCCCGTCCCCCTCTGCGATTTAGCGCACTGCTTGAGCGTGACCCCAACGCGTCGTGCTAGCCTTATCCTTACCTGTAATCTCAACCGCAGGTAGAAACGCGTTTTCCTTTTTTCCTCCGGATTTTTTTTTTTTCTCAACGAGCACCCCGATTCTCCCATTTCCTTCTCTAACGCCTCGTTCGTTTGTCCCTCATTCTGCATCAATTTTGAGCACGCCAAATTCCTCGCATATCGCACGTTCCAAGGCTGTCGCATCGCGGATCAAGCTTCCAAGCTAAGGTTAAGCGCAACCGCCAGGACCGGCCAGCATATACCGAAAAACAATCGACAGTCATAACATTTACCTTCAATAACGATGGCAAAGACAAAGCCAGCAGCTTCTCCCAAGGAGGACAAGACAGCCACCCCAGCCCGCGGATCTCGTGGAGCCGCTGGAGGTGTCACCAAGCCCGAGGGAACCGTCACGCGTGGCCGTGGTCGTCCTCGAAAGGATGGTGCCGTAGGTCAGCCCAAGCCCGCATACGTGCCCACTGGCCGCCCTCGCGGTCGCCCCAAGGGAAGCTTCAAGTCGGCGGCTGGCGCCAAGCGCGCTGCCAAAGCGGCTGATAAGCCAGCAACCCCCAGGGTGGCTGGGCGTACTCGCGGACGACCTCGCAAGTCGGACGTGGAAGCTAGCGCCGCAACAACTCCCAAGTCCGCGACCAAGAGGGGAAGAAAAGCATCAAAGGCAGTTGAGGAAGAGCCCGAGGAGGAGGCCGATGAGAAAGACGCCGACGAGAAAGATGCCGACGAGGAGCAGGATGAAGAGGACGAAGGTACGCAGCCCCCCTCCCCTGATACTCTATTCGTTTGAAGGCGCGCGCAGCTAACGTGATCGGCTTTCCAGCAAACAAGCAGATTGAAGACGAGGCCAATGACGTTAGTCCACCCCTCCCCCCTTGGAGACTTGCAAATCACGACCAATGGCTAACATATAACAGGATGCTGAAGCCAGCGAGTAAACCAGCGCAATGACGGGTGGTCGGGTTGATCGAGGTTTTTTCTTTTTCTTTTTTATATTTGCAGTAAACGCACAACAGAAATAAAACACGTCCCTTGCCTGCATTTAGTATCGATCACTGGGCTCGAACATCTAACCAGGGGGGTTTCTGACGGACAAACACCGCGTGGGTATCAGGATAGCTAGGAGTTATAGCCAAGGCGGCCGGGTGGGCGCTTATTATAATAATGGAATTCTGTTTTTTTTATGCTGGTATTGCTACCAGGTTCCCGAACAAGAATATAAGGGTGCTGTGGACGGGCGACTGAACACAGATCAAGGTGGGCAGGCCGGCAGCCCGAACGAGAGCAGGAGAGCTTCGGGTAGAGCAGCATTCTGTTGTTCTGCCATGTTTCCCGGTTGTTCCCCGCGCACTCCTATTCGCATCAGCGAAGACTTGGAGATGCAGCTTTCCTCGGTCTCGTGAGTATTGAAACCACTCCCTCGCGCTATTCCCGACTCCACTCCTCAAACTCCTCTTCCAAATGGTCCTTGAGCTGCTTGAAGCGATTCCCAAAATTTCGCCCGCACCTCCAGCACCGCAAGTCCCTGTGCAGGTACTCGCCCCCCTTAGTCTGCCTCCTCGCGTCATCCAGGCCCAGCGGGAAGTCGGCAACGTCGACGAGGAAGGGCGTGTTGAAGGAGTTGTAGTGCTTGCGGTGCTTGGTCTTGGGCGAGTGCATGTCGCGCGACAGGACGTGGACGTGCAGGTGGGACATGCTCGGCTTGGCGTGGACGCCGGCGACGACCTCCCTCGACCAGTCGCGGCCGCGGGGCAGGCCGTCGGCCGGGTCGAGCTCCGCGCCCGACGCCGCCTGGTCGTCGCCGTCCAGGACCGCCTGCCTCGCCGCGTCCGCCCTGCTGTTGTGGCCGAGGCGGCGGCGCAGCTCGCCGGCCACGAGCGCCTTGAGCTTCTCCGTCTCGGCGACGACCTTGGCCCTGAAGTCGGCGTCCTCCAGGGCGTCGAACGGGTGCATGAGGTTGTGTTTTGGGGAGCGCGGGAGCAGGAGTGTGTGGATGGTGGACTTGGGGAACAGGTCGTTGATCACGACAAAGTCCGGGGTGTGGTAGATGACCCGCGATGATGGGAAGGACGACGGGTCGGCGAGGTAGGTGCCCAGGCCCATGCGGTCCTTGAACGGGTGGCCGCCTCTGGAAAAGCTGGGCGGGCTGGGATCCTGTGCAGGAGGAGCCTTGGGCTTGGGTCTCATAAGCTCTGTGACTTTTGGGTTTCAGTGAGCGGGCGAGGCGGACGATGGATGAGTGGTGGTACATACATGCATTTTTGCTTCGGCTGCCCTTGGTCTGTGGAGGTTCAACACCCTGGATTTCATCCTTGGTGATTGCTTCCTCTGAGTCGGAGCCTGGTGAGCCCATCATGTGTTCACTGCCAGAGGATAACACCGGCCAAGGGGTGTAAGGTTGGTGAAAGAGGTCCCTGAGGAGAGACGGAGCACGGTGTAAGTTGGAGCCTGCTGTCTGCCTGATAAGTGGGAGGCATAAGTCAGGTTTGGGCTGCCCCACCACGGCTCTTGACTCACGCCTGATTGCGGGAGTGGTATAAACTACAAACATGACAGCTATTATCCAACGTCGCAGAGAGATGTTGTAGGTTCGATGGCTGGAATAATCCTATTTTAAACACAATGCCTACATACACTCTGTAGACTCCTACCTCGCCCCATCTATCGTGATATTTTATGTCGGTCGTGTCTATCGTCATATGATCTAATCATGCATCCATGCCATCCAGTTCGATCAACTTCTTCACCAAGCAAATCACCTCGCTATTATCCAGCTCAACGCTCGGCTTAGCGACCTTCTCCGCGATTAAATCATCCACCAATCCTCTCAGCCGAGCTACGAGCACTCCGATTCGAGCCCAGCCTCGGAGCCTCAACCATCCATCCACAACCAAGCCCCGGCCCAGGGTGTCCAGCTCTATAGGGCCGGAAAAGAGTAGCAAGGTGAAGACGTTGAATGCTGTTTGCGATAAAACACTAGTCAGTGGCCATCTATCGACAAGGGCGAATGATCAAAAATTCAAAGTAATAACTTACGAGTCAAGTCCCTGATAAAGACCTTGCTTGTGGAAATGATACTAAAGTAGGACATGTATGACGCACTCCCCGAGAAACCCTGGCTCCCGAACAGCGTGCTGCTCGGATGCACAAAGACGCGGCCATTCTCCTGGTTGAAGTATTTGATCGATCTCGCCTCTGGATCGAGCTCGACCGCACCAGACACCGAGTTTGCAAACTTCTTGTCCGGATACTGGATCCGTGCAATCTGGGGGGTGAAGGCTGAGGCGACGAGTGCTCGTAGTAACTGAGAGCTTCTCGAACCAGTCGAATGAGTTTCGGCTGTGGCTGCTGAAGGAGGTACGATCCCAATCTCGACTAAAGCTGTATAGTACTGGGTACGGGTGTTTGCAATATCAGACAAGGTCTGGTATGAAAGGAAGTTCTCCTCGCAGAAAGCCCTGACCTGCCGCTGCGGCAGTCGATCTTGCATCATGGCGTCCCATTCCCTGAATGCCTCCAAATCAGTGACGAGGTCGCCGTCGCCATCATAGAACCTCATCCTTGCCTCCTTCGCCTCCTCTCTTTTGTCCGAAGGCGACACGAATGGGCTTCTTGTGCTTAATATTGCTGCAATTACGACGCAGTCGTCAAGACATCCAAAAATGGCACCGAATACCATCAACTTTCCACATCTCAAGTCAGCCGGCAGCATAGCAAGTTGCTGACCCATTGATGTCAGTTCGTCTCCATCGAGAGCCCCCATTCTTTGGAGGAGTTTCAGGGCTCCTTCAATGGCAGGAGTATCTGGCGGTGTTGGAGATCGCCTGAGGAAGCCAGAAACGTCCTTCATACCCATAGCACGCACTGAAAGGCAAAGCTGCTCCAGAGGCACCCGTCTGATTTCCGGCTCTGGTCGCTCCGCCATGTGGTTTTGCTCCAGGTTCTGAGTGTAAAGTTTGTAGCACCTGCCCTCTTGTACACGACCAGCTCGTCCTCGCCGTTGTTTACAAGCAGCCCGTGATGCCCAAGTTTCCTCGAGTTTTCTCATGTTGTTTTGTGCGTCAAAGCTGGTCTCCTTCACCTTGCCGCTATCGATTACCGCAATAATGTCGTCGATGGTGATCGATGTCTCAGCGACGTTGGTAGCCACAACAACCTTTCGCTTTCCAGGGGGAGGTTTGGCGAATACCCGTTTTTGTTCTCGAGTCTCCAGAGAAGCGTGGAGAGCCAGGACATGAAGAGACGTTATAGACCGTAGAGCGTTGCAGGCTTGGTTGATTTCTCCTACACCAGGTAGGAAGATCAGAATTCCTCCCGATTTCTTTTCGTAGCCAAGTTCATAATCAATAGCTTTGACCGCTTCAACGATGAGACTGTAGTTGATACGGGCTCCTAGCTTTTGAATGATCTTGCCCATGGTTTCATCGCCAATGTATGGATCCTTGGACTCCCCCACACCATAACCAGTCATGCGAACAACATCATCCAAGTAGTACTCATCAACGGGGAACGTCCTTCCGGCAATCTCAACTGCGCCAACTTGGAGCCCTTCGGAGGTGAAGTATTCGTTGAATGTTGCAGCATCGAGAGTAGCGGACATGAGTATGAGCTTTATCATGTCTTTGCGCGTTCGCATAACTTCTCGGATCAAGTTCAATAAGAAGTCAGTGTCCAAACTCCGCTCATGGACTTCGTCAATGACCACATGACTGACGTCGGCCAATGAAGCTGCGACATCTTCCACTCTGCCACCTGACGTTTGTAGTCGACGGAGGAGCACACCAGTGGTCACGAAAGTGATCCTCGTATCTTTCGATCGTCTGGACTCGCCACGGATCGTGTATCCAACTTCTTCTCCCACTCTCGTACATCTCTCTTCTGCTACGCGATCCGCCAGTCCCAGCGCTGAAATTCGTCGAGGTTGAGTGATGATCATATTGGCACACTCACCCAGACCCTTGCTGTACAGGTCATCCAGTAGAAATTGCATCGACTGTGTGGACTTTCCTGAACCCGTCTCACCACTGATAATCGTAACATGGTTATCGCGAACAGTCTGTATAAGCCTTTCACGAACCTGCCATGCGGGTAGCCTCTCTCTCTGGGCCGACATCTTTTTCCATCCAGGGGTTTCCTGTCTTCGAAGCCACGCCTCCCTGCTCCTCGCATTCTCAATCCATCTGATTGGTCTCGGTGCACCGTGGGACCTCCCATTTCGCCTGGTCGGGGCGAGCACCTTGGTCTCCGAGGCTGCAGACGAGACAGCAGAGATGTCCACGAGATTCCCTGGCTTTTCAACAATGCTGTTGATGTTCTGCTGAACCCAATCAGCAACCAGGAACATCTTCATTGGTTCTTCCCGCAGCTGCGTGTCCATGTATTCCAAGGCCTTCCTGGCGATGCTGAGTTTGATATATGATGGGAGATTGGCCACAATACCCAGAATTAGTCGCTTCGGGTACGACGGTGCCATTCGGATCTGCAAGGAGACATCGATCTGTCCGTGGACCTTGTCCTTGATAGACTCAAGACGGATCTGGATCACTTTGTCGTCGATGGCTTGGAAGTGATCACCATACATCGCCTCCAAACTCCCGACTTCCTCATCCCACTGCTCCTTCGGCGAGCCCATGTCAAGGAAGTCGGCGACATCCACATCATCATCCTCGTCGCTGGCACTCCGTCCGCATAGTAAATCTTGCAGCGCGCTTGCAGCCTCTTCTTCGTTGCCACCTTTCTCGTTTAAGATACGAGTGCACAGGTCCTGCGAGTAGCCACTTTGAGACAGTCGCTTGATGATCCCCTCTTTCCTGAGATCCGTGGCTCCGATGGAAACGCCCACCGCGTAGCGCTCTGGAAGTGCCCACTTGGGGAGATCATCTTCCGGCACATGGATAAGGAGCCATTCGAGAGTCTCTTCTCGGTCTTTGCAGTATCC